AGATCAAAAGAAAAAAAAAGAAATAAGAATCACTTAATTGACTGAAGGGAAGACCTGCTTGAATAGCCTAGTTTTCAACTGGCTTTTCAAAATGCCCAGTGAGGGTGCCAGCCGAATTTCGGTAGGGAGGGTGTTCCACAGCCGAGGGGCCACCGCGGAGAAGGCCCAGTTTCTTGTTTTTTCCTTCCAGGCCTCCCTTGACATCAGACCCCTCAGCCGTCCCTGCTGGCTATGTCGCATGGCTTAAAATATGTTCAAAAATATAGATAGAAAATAGGTAAAAGTAAGTGAATCAAAATCATCTTTAGGAATGCCTAAGAAAAGTAAATGCAAAATTGTATACATATTTTGTAGTCGTTATGATTGCCTAAGGGGTCTACGGAAAACAAATAAGTTGGCAAGTGGTCTATGGAACAAAAAAGTTTGGGAACCTATGATTTAACTGATATGGCACTGTTTTTCTGTACCCACATTATATAAGAAATGTTGAAAATAACAAACCAACATCTGTCATAGTTATTTAGTTCAGTTCCATTTGGAATTTTTAGGCTTTGCTAAAAAGTAACTACACAATCAGAGCTGTAGGTATTAGAGGTGTTTGCGGAATTATATGCTGGTTCAATAGCTCAGTTATTATTATTAATAAGAAATAATAAGAAAAAGAGTGTTACATCTTATCATCCAAAGTAAAATAAATGGGGACAGAAGTGGAGGAAGGAGAGGAGCTTGCTGACAGAATTACCTTAGGGAATTATGTGGATGCAAAACAACATCTTTGTTTGAAGCTGCCATGTCCATAGTCAGAGAAGCCATGATATTGTCCAGCCTCAGGTATGAGAAAAATAATAAGTTGCTTCAAATAGAATATATCTCATTTGACAGCATGTAATGTTACCTGAAAGTGCTGATGGCTTCAGTGAAATCTGCAGTCCCCTGAGAGTTTTGAAACAGTCCCACCCAAAGTACTGTACAAAGAATTAAAATAAAATATGGAAGCCATGTTCTGTTGTGATGCATGGATTGCATTCTTCTGTAATAGCCATATTTACTACAGATATGTAGTTCTCCTGACTGGAACTGGAAGATGTCAGCAGTGGTTGTCAGGGCTGAAGTTCACAGTCACTAAAAATAAGGAAGTCATTTTGATAAAAAAAAAAAGTTCCTTCTAAAACATCAAGCAGATAGCATTTGTATTAATACCTCATTTCTAATTTTCCGCATAAGAAGACACCATCAGTTCAAGAACTTATTGATTCACAGTGCTTGTTTTCAGCCATCTTAGTTGAAAAGTAGGCCAAATATAAATTATTTTATTTATTTATTTTATTTAATTTATTTAATTTACTCTACCTTTTTTAAAAAGTATGTACAATGTCAAAATCTTAAAAGATTCCCAAGGACTGATAGTGAAGAGACAATTCAGTATTTACCTCTATCATGTTATCCCGGAGAGACTGATGTTTTTGGAAAAAGGAATTAAAGGAACTATGCACGTGGCATACTTTATGTTAAGACAGGCAAGGCAAGGGAATAGTTTTCTGCACAATACCAACTTTAAGGCAAATTGCTAAATCTAGTACCTTTGGATTCCTCATCGTGCATTTTTCCTGTTTATATGTTTGTTTCATCACCTGTTTCTGCCAGCTCATAAGCGTGTAATGTCCCAAGAGGAAGTATGTTGTACACATTGTGCAAGTATGGCACCACAAGTTGCAATAAATACTCTAGGGTTTTCATTGTTCTTGGGCAGATAAGCAGGGATGGGTGTTCTAGCCAGTTGCTAGTAGTTAACTATTGTACAGTTGCCTGCTGAAGTGAAACACTCAGCTGCAACACATGAGCTTTCCTATATTTGTCAATGGAAGTGTGGGTCACTCTTTTGATTGTGTTTTTAGGATTTCTGTTTTGGCAGTTAGTATTTGACTTTGAGGATGTATTGTCATTTGACAAATGGGTTGGGTAATGAAACAAAGAGTCAGATAACTGCTGGGTTCAGGCAAGCTTAATAAGTGGTAAAACAATTGCTTGAGTCTTGCCACCTGTAAAAGAAGTCTGTAAAAGAGCTTCCTTGGAGGCTGGGAATTAAATCTGAATTTGAATCACTTTGTCAAACAGATATGTTTGTTTCTCATAATATTAATTAATGCTTAGAACTGCTGGTTGCCCTTGCAGTTTAACCTGTATTGTGCTGTAGTGTAAGTAGTCCTTGTAGTTTGTGAGTATTCTTAAACAGTGCAAAGTTGAGAATATATCTTAGTTTATGCAAATCAGCGGGCTTAGGTGTAGCTATTGTTGGATTGGCTTATTAAACAGAAACCAAGTTAATGCTGGCTCGAAGTATTTCTAAAAAATGTGATTACTGTATTCCTTAAGACTGCAGTACAGCATGAGAGCCAGTGAGGTTTTTTGACATGTTAGAGGAGGGCTTTGGCTTTGCTTAGCCATGCAATAGCTGCACAACACTGGAGCTCTTTGGGGGTCAGTTCAGCTGGAAATTGTCACATGATGTTACCATTCTAGGTTAGCTCCCCCCCTTTTGGCGGTGAAGGCCATTTAAAACAATTTAATGCAGAAGGCCACTATGTCACATTTAATGTGATTGTGCCTGTTGAACCTTCTAAAAATGGTTTACACACAAAACAAATAGTATGGAGAAGTCATATAAAGCCTCACTACAACCAGCTAATTACATCTAAGAATTCTTGGTAATTACATACAATTAGAGACTCTTGAATTAACTATAGTCTGGTTCTATTTCAGGAAAAGCACATAAAGAAGGTGGATCTGCGCGAATGTCACTCCTCATATTAGTGTCCATTTTCTTAACAGCTGCCTCTGTTATGTTTCTGGTATATAAGAATTTCCCACAACTTAGTGAGTAAGTATATGACTTGCAAATTTGTTTTGAGAGACTTGTCGAGCATATCTATAAAATCTCTCATGTCTCAGCTACAGTATAGGCATGTTCCTAGAGAGTCAGTGACCAAATCTTGTTGCCATAGTTATGCGGCACAAACTGTATGGCATCATCATCTGGTGCTAGGATCAAGACTGCTGGCAGTGATTTTTGTGTATTGGGTACCTCCTCACCTCCACCCCATCCCAAGGTTCTGAACGGCTTCTCCGGGGTTAAAATGAAGCCATGAGGAGTTTCAAACCTGAAAGTTGGGGGAGGGAACAGGAAGCTTTTAATTAGTTTTAATTAATTATTTCCAGCTATACAAATAGGATTTTGTCCTGTGTGCTTTTACAGAGATTCTCATAAGTGTTTTCCAAAAGCATATACTGTATGTAGACAACTTGAAACAGATCTTACACACAAAGCTTTTGAGCTGTTTCTCTGTAACTGTTTCATTTATTCAAGCTCTTTCTGACTGAATAAAGAATATGGGCACTTTGAAAGCAAATTGAATTAAAAGGTCAAACACAACAAACAGTGAATTCTTTTTCAAAGGCATAAAAACAACTGCTCAGACTACTGCTATTAAAATACTTATGTTTTGAAAAGTTTATATTACTGTATATGAAGTCAGAGATTTGTTCTGAACATTGATCTCAAATTTGTTCTGAACATTGATCTCTGACATATGATGTAAGAGATTTGTTCTGAACATTGATCTTGAGATTTTGATTAATAATTATTGGGAATGAGGTGATTTGGTTTCTTGAATACTGCTTGACAATTTCTGGACTATTGTATTTTTGCTAAGCATTGAAGTATAGCATTGAATTATAAACTACACGGAAGCAATGGCTGGGACAAACTACAAATGCAATACCTTAAAACAGTATGATTATTATATTAAATAACATTTTGAAGTACTGAGTTCAGAAAGTGATAACATGTATATGTTGATACTTATCGCAGACGCGAAATATAACTGTATGTTGGTAATGTTGTCTTTTCCCCCCACAGAGAGGAGAGAGAATGTATAAAAGTTCCCAGAGACATGGATGATGCTAAAGCCTTGGGGAAAGTTCTCTCTAAATACAAGGATACCTTCTATGTACAAGTATTAGTGGCTTATTTTGCCACATATATTTTGTATCCTTATTTGATAATTATTTATACCCATAGTTTCATAGAATGTGAAGTGAAATTTTAAGGCAAAGGTTTCCTCCAGTTATTATAGTTTGACTCCTAAAAAGAAAGATTACCCACATCCTCATTGTACTCTCCTCCAGTACTATGGATGAGATTGGGAAAGCAACTTTAAGAGCCATGCAGACTTTCAACCAGTATAGCTGATGTCTTTCAAGGTGAAGAATTGTTGTCCACTGCTATTCTTCTATTCATGGGAGGCTCTTTGATCCAGTAGAGGCTTCTTTTAATGTCAGCCCCCATGATGTTCTGAAGAATCTTAAGAAAATGCTGTTAGATTCCTAATCTGTCCTCTTTTCCATGGCCAGTGGGGTCTACAAACAAGGCATAAAAGGAATAATTGTTTCTCATTGTTTCTGAGTGACTGATATTCAGAGATATGCTTTCTGTTATCCTGGGGGAATAGCCGGCTGCTGCAACCATTAGACCATACCTTCCATGAATATGTCTAATCATTTTCTGAAGTTGGCTGAGTTGATGGCCACCAATTCAGTGATCCTATAATCTAACAGTACTGTATAAAGAAGTACTTCCTTTTGTAAATCTGAATCTGTTGCCATTTTGCTTGTTTGGATGACATTTGGTTCTGTGAGAATGGGATGGGGTGGAATTACCCACTTTCACTAAATCGCCCATATGTTTATGTCCTCTATCTAGCGTATTTTTTCCTAAGTCAGTTGGCCTAACTTCATCGTGTAACTGAGTTGTTTCCCACAAACTCCCAATCATTTTAGTTGCTGTTTCCTGTTGGTTTATAATATCCTTTTTCAGATGCTACAACCTACCATAATAATACTGGCAGGTTTTCATTGATATCTATATATAATTGACCCATTGAACATCATCTTATATTTACATTGAGTGCATTTGTTATTTTGATGTGCATTCACCTACTTTGGTGAGATTCTTTTTGGAGCTCTTTTCATTTCTAAATAATTAGTAAACCTGCTCACTGCTCACCTTTAATGAACATTTATTCTAAAATTAGATAACAATGATTTGCTACATATCCTTGGTCCACAATTTCTCTGAGATAGCGTTGCAGGGTTGTGCTGCTGCAAGGGGCTATAGGCGGAAAGTGTAATCTATTAAATTGCTTCTCCTTTATCCATTAGTGGAAGATTCTATGGTATCAAAAAGTTGTGAAGGACCACATTGGACACAACTTTAGTTGCCAGTAATTCTCATTTTGAGGCTTTGAATACTTACTTGTGTGGTTTATATCTGAAGACTTTCATTTCCTCATGCCTGTTTTGGTTTGACCTTGAAATGGCCTTGATACAAAAACTCCTGCATATATCAAACCTTTCTGTCATACAGATGAGTAAAAAAAAGAGAGGGAGGGATAGGGAGCATTGAATTGATAAAGGATTAACTTTAGGAAGTAATGCCCATGATCCTAAAAATACTACATATAAAATGTTAGTGGGGGGAAGACATTCATTAAATGTTTACTTATTCACATAAAGGAATATTTTGATGCTGTGAAAATATTTTTGAAAGAAAGTTAACACATACTCCGCTTGCAAAAACAAACAGCTTTATTTTTGTTGGTGTGTTATTCCTGTGAGAATTGAATATGGTAATTTGCAGTTCTAGTGTTGTTAAAAACACTTGGATACAAATAAGCATTTGACTCTGTTACCTATTTAAAAGGTGGATTCATGAGATAGTTATTCTGAGTAACCTTTGGTTTATGTTCAGTGTTGCTTTTCTGAAACTTTGATTTTCAGAATTTAAGCTTCGTACAGAAAAGGAACGCAGGAAAAGCAATAAATGTGAACATTTACTGAAGAGCATTTTGTCTTCCACATATTTCAGATTTAATATTTTAGATTAGTCGTCTTCTCTGCATTTATACTATGATTTTTTAAAAAAATACATACTGAAACAACTTCAGTATTGTTCCAGGGAAGCATGATGCTGATGCTCTTCTGAGTTTATCTAAGATAATGTCAGTTTCACCATCATGTGTAGGCTGGAGAAATAGCTAATAGCCACTCCCTGACAAATGTTTCTGTGTGATACAAATGTATTATGTTCGTTCTACAGTTTTAGACCCATTTTTACAATAGGTTCTGCACAGACAAGCCTTTGTCTCACAGGATTAAGAAGTATATGTATAGTTCAAACAGCACAATATATTTTTCATTGCTTATACAAGGAATGTGTTTGATATTTAAGGAGTTGCTACTATTTGTGTTGTTAATTTAAATTTCTGATTATAGTTGTATGCAATTTTACCATGGAGTAAGGTCTGTTAAAAACAGTGGGAGGTAGTTTTGAAGAAACATATGTAGGATTACATTAGAAGCTGTGACTCAGTAATTTTGTCCTTGACTCTAACGACCATCCAGCTTGCAAACATTTGCTATACCTGGTTCTATATTTCTGAGTATACTTTCAGGATTTCTCTACCCCTTTCCACTAGCTCTATTTCTTGTTTGTTTGGTAAGTATTAACTATGTGTAGAGGATGCATTTTCTTCTCCAAAGCATTTATTTTAGGTATTCAATCAGTTGTGTGGAAGCAGGCAATGTTTCCACAAGTATTTATATCCCAGAAGGTTAATGTTGCTTATAATGACAAAAATATCATTCAAATCCAACTCTGTAATAGTGGAACTCAACAATTACATTGAAACAACCATGAGAAACAACCAAAAATCTAATAGAAGTGGTATGTGTTATACCCCTTGTTAAAAAAAACTGCCGAAGAAGTCACCTTTTCACCTCTACAGAAGTCCACAAATGACAAGATTGTGCAGTAAAATCCAAGTTTCTGCCTGTCATTGGCAAAGCCTGCCATCAAGCTCGACTGGTTGGTAGTGCCTGCTAAGTAAACATCAGACAAAGTCTCTCATGTGGAAGAGACTGTTCTTAAGGTATGAATATTACATCCAGTGCTTTAGGTTGGGCTCTGAAGAAAACTGGCAGCTCGTGCAGGTGGTGCAAAGAAGGTTGAATATACAGTATGCTTATCTTAGCCAGAGCTGGAAGAAGTTTCCTTTTGGGATTATAGCTCTCAATATCCTCTGGCTGTTGACAGTATTAAATTGCAGCATTTAATACTGAAAATACTGTAGCAATGTTGCACCATTAAGTCAGTTATTCATTACTTTTGAAATAAGTGAGACAAGAGGGCAACTTTCAGAACAGAATACTTTCTGAATAAGTGTCAAATTATGTCTGCTAAGTATTATGGTTGCATTATTTCAATATTTAGCTTTATTATACATAACAGTATATAACTAAACAACTGGGCATTGTATTACGTGTCTGTCGTTGAAATATGTGAGAATCATCTTTTCCTGGTAGCTATAATACTACACAACTGAAACTAGTTGGTACATATTAATTTGATGATTAAGTTATGTCTTTAATCTTGGGCTTAAAGGTTACACAGTACATTCATTACAGGAATAGAAATGATTTCCATCAAAAAGGAACAGCAGTGTGGTTAGTTACATTTCTAAATCGGGAGCATATGTGGAAATAATTTGATAATGGTGACTCCAGTAAAGCTCACTTGAAACAACTAGTTGCCCTAAATGCAAATGCAGTTGGCTAAGTACAAAGGAAAATTCATTCAGCTTAATTGGGCTTGGATGAACACTATTATGTCACTGAAATTGCACAGCTTCTATGTGCTTGTACAATATCTGAGGTACATATTCAACAGTTATTTGATGGAATCTCTTACTCCATTTTAAATTGTTAATAGGGAAATATATCTATAATGTTTTTTCAAATCCTTTGATATAGTAAACTAGCATGGAAACTAGTGTAGTTCTTTCCCAGCCTGCTGATCTTCTACAGTTGTGTTTCATTTTTATAGAAAACCTTACCTCTGCAGATAGAAGGAAGTAATGATCAATGATCTGCTGATAGAAGGAAGTAATAGATCCATGTTTCACCATAGAAATAATTTGGAATGCCATTGTTATATGTTAATGATTTTGAGGATGGCTGTGTAGGATATCTAATTTTGAATTCCCTTGCAGTGCTCTGGACTTGGGGCCTCTTTCTGTTATATGCTGTCCTATTTAGTTGGAAGACCGGTTGTGTATCGATATTTAACAGAGAAAGCAGTGAAATGGTCAAAACAGGTAAGGTCACTGATAGAACATTTGCCCTGAATTATTGAAATATCACAGCACATGAATTTTCATATTTATTTTCTCTGTTCCTGGTCGCAGATTAGTCTTGTTCTTCCTAGAAGACGTGCTAGTTACAGTATTAAAGATACAGCCGGGATTCCCCCTTACGCCACCACTTCTGGGTCCGTCTGCAAGGTGGACCCACTTCCGGTTCTGTGACTGTCGGCATGATTCCCCCTTAAACTGCCACTTCCGGGTCCAGGTCATGCCACTCACTGTTCCCTCCCTCCATTTTGTACACGCGAGCCCAAAAAGGTCCACCACCGCTGTTTTAGGGGGTGCCGCTTTATAAGCACAAGTAAGACCCAAAGTGGTGGCGCTGCGGGCTAAACCACAGAAGCCTGTGCTGCAGGGTTAGAAGATCTGCAATTGTAAGATTGAATCCATGCATACGGGGTGAGCTCCCGTTGCTTGTCCCAGCTCCTGCCAACCTAGCAGTTCGAAAGCATGTGAATGTGAGTAGATAAATAGCTACCACCTTGGTGGGAAGGTAACAGCGTTCTGTGCCTAGTCGTGCTGGCCACATGACCACGGAAACTCTTTGGACAAACGCTGGCTCTATGGCTTGGAACCCGTTGCCAATGTTTCTTTCATTAGCAAAGTGGTCGAGAGGGTGGTGGCCGATCAGCTTCAGGCACACTTGGATGAAACAAATGCCCTGGATCTGTTCCAGTCGGGCTTCAGGCCGCACCATGGTACAGAAACGGCATTGGTCGCCCTGTTAGATGACCTATTGAGGGAGGCCAACAGGGGGAAAACATCCCTGTTGGTCCTCCTCAATATCTCAGCCGCCTTTGATACCATTGACGACGGTATCCTCCTGAGGAACATCTCCAAGTTGGGAATTGGTGGCCTGGTGTTGGCCTGGCTCCGATCCTTCCTGGGGGATCGTCTTCAGAGAGTTCAGCTTGGGGAGAATGAGTCGGCCCCGTGGAGCCTCAATTGTGGAGTTCCACAGGGCTCGACTATCTCCCCAATGCTCTTTAACATCTATATGAGGCCGCTGGGCAAGGTCATCGGGGTGTGGAGTGGCGTGCCATCAATATGCTGATGACACGCAGCTCTACATCTCCTTTTTTCCAACTACACTGGATGCTGTTCTGTCCCTGCAGTGCTGTACTGCAATGGATGCAGGAAAATAGGCGGAGGCAGAACCCGGACAAGACGGAAGTCCTGAGGGTGGGTGGTCCTACCATCAGCGGTTTGGGAAACTCCCTCTCTTTTGGGGGGTTGACTCTCACAGCGAAGAGTGAGGTTCGCAGCTTGGGGATCCATCTGGACCAGGCGCTTACCATGGAATCCCAGGTGGCGTCTGTGGTCCGCACCACCTATATCCATCTTTGGCGGATTGCCCAGCTGCATCCCTATCTAGATGTTGGGTCGCTCACCACTCTGGTCCATGCGCTCGTAATCTCGAGATTAGGCCACTGTAATGCTCTCTATGTGGGGCTACCTTTGAGATCGATGCGGAAACTCCAAATGGTATTTTCAAAGGCCAATTGAAAACTTGGCAAGACTTCCCTCCAGCCACTACTTTATTTACTTTTTTCTTTCATCTTGAGTACTATCTATTGATGTGTTACTTTGTTCTTATATTTTAAATTGTTTATATCATATGCTGTTAACCGCCCAGAGTAGTCAGTTGACTAGATGGGCAGGGTATGAATTCAATAAATAAATAAATCTGTTCTTTAGATAGTGAGATAAATTGATACTGTGTTCTTATCTCTATACCTGGCGGGATAGCTCAGTGAGTTAGGTAACTGACTGTGGAGCCAGAAATGGGGAGTTCTCTTCCCCACTATATGTCCCATATAGCAATGGGCAAGTTGCACAGTCCCAGGATATTCCCAAAAGTAGGGAATGGTAGACCATTTCTGAGGGCTGTATACCTAAAAAATTCTGGAAGGGGCGACCATAAGTCGAATTCACTTGATGGCACATTATTAATTCTTAACTCTATGCTTTTAAGTTGTAGACATTCACCCAAGCTCTCGGAGAGGCTTTTGTGTATTTCATGGTGGCTCTACTTTATTTCAAGCATATGGATATAAGGACATAATGCAACACTGTCAAAAACTGTGAAATCTACAATAATTTGCAACAGTACTTTTGGTGGTCTAGTTAGTCAGCCATGGCCATTTTTCCTTCATTCCATTCTGTTTTCTACTTGGATTTCTATTTTTCCTTATAGCAGTTAGTCAGCATTCCAGAGAGTTACAGTATTAACTATAGTCCTCATTCAACTATTTTATCTTTCACTTTTCCTATTCTTAAAGATTTGTTTTACACTTCTGCTACCTGCCTCTTGTTTTCAGATGGTGCCAGTTTAGCTACCTAAGAACTCTCCAAGTCAAAAATAGATAGCATTTTAAGATAATTAAGATTGAACTATATTACTAGGACAGGATTTTTTAAATGTTCAGTTTTTATATCCTACAGGTTGAACGACACAGAGAGCACCTCATAAACTACATAATATTTTTGAGAATAACTCCCTTCCTTCCTAATTGGTTCATCAATATAACCTCTCCAGTAATAAATGTTCCACTGAAAGTATTTTTCATTGGTACCTTTCTCGGTAAGAATTCTGCTTAATACTCATTCAGTATTTAGAAAATGTGATTATATTTTATTTTCTGTACTGTTCATAAGTACATAGCCCCAACTGATGTGCTGCTGTAGAAATTCTGAATAATGTGCCTATACTGTTCGAACATCTATTTATTTTGGTTCTGTGGCTTGTTTGGTATGGAATGCAGGTATTTATATATTAGTCGTGAATGAAAAGAAGGTTGAAATGTTGGAGGCCAGTCACAGGATAGATCCCATCTTAGAGTCTATGCTGTGGCAAAGATAGTGATGAAGAATGTTGAGAATGGCAAAGGTCTGTTGCACTCTGGCTAACAGCAAGATGGCAATCATTTTGCAGATTACTTTTCAGTGAAAGGCACTTCAGTCCACTCTGACTTAAATGCATGGGTTATTTCAGAATCCATCCAAATAGTCAAAGAAGCCACCTTGCATTAGTTACGTTTCAGTCTGTACAGTTGGAGAATGTGGAAAAATTCTTTGGAAAACAGGGGCAACCTCCCCCCTTCCTGACTTATTAAACTTGTCAGGCAAAATCTAGTAAACTGAGTTGCAGAAACAGTAAATGCCTTAATTTAGGAAGGAGAAATTCCTAAACTGGCTGAATTTACACCATAGTTGCCAAACAATATTTTTACAGAACCAGAAGTGGGCCTCCAATCACTTCTTTCTTATTTTAAAAACATTGAGTGGGGAGGGTTCATTTCCTGAACCAGGTAGACTCCTGATTCAGGAAATGGATCCCAAGATTTGGTCCACCCCCAATCTAGATAAATATGGTAACTGATGCTGGTATTGAGAGCCCTTATGAATCAAAGAGATTTAACATTTACTTCTAATTTGGTTCATAAAGGTAGTTTCAGTTCTAAAATTCTGACTAGAAATCAAACTGGAAGGGAAAAAAAAGCTTACCAAAAAATATTCCAAGGTTGTTTTACCAATACACATTCCATTATCTTGTTCAGAGATAACAAACCTGAAGTTTTTAACATTTGAAAGGTGCAGGAGAGAATTGCTAGTTCTGGAGGGAGTCTAGGACAGTGTTTCCTAGCCTCTTTTGAGTCATGATCCCCTTTTAATAATAGCCAAGTAATCTACAACCTCCCTGCCACATTTGCATCAAAAGCCATTTTAATGAGGTTAAAAAATACATTAAAATAGATTTTTCAGAATATAATTAAATCCTAATATATTAATATTAATGTAATAATACATAATTATGGCAGGGCTGTAAATCTGCCTCTGCCAGACAAAAATTGAGAAGGAAAAAAATTGTCAATGCACTTTGAGTATAATTTCCTTTTTGGGGGTATGGAAATAACCCTCCCTTAATGTCTCCAACCACCACCAAAAAAAGAATCCTTTGGTGAAGAGCCCCTCTGAAGAGGCTGTGCATGACTTCTGTTATTTATAACTGTTATTTATAACTTTTACTTATAACATTTTATCTGTTAAATTTTTAAAAGACTCTGTTTTGTTGCGTTTTGTATTTTGATTTTGTAGAACATCATGTGAATACTTGTTACAAGACAGAACATCTATAACAATTTACTATGGCAATCTGAAAAGATGTGTAAAATGTTTTAGAAGCATATTGTAAGTCACAAGTACAGAGGGGGAGAAGCAGGTGGACAGACTTTTCCTTTGTCATTTATTTTTTGAGTCATAGGAATAATGGCCTATTATGATTTGGTGGGATTAAGAATGTAATTTTTTTTATTAAGCTGTTCATTGCTTCTGATTCTCTTTAAAACTTTCTCTTTCTAGGTGTTGCACCACCATCTTTTGTAGCAATTAAAGCTGGAACAACACTTTACCAGCTTACAACAGCAGGTGAAGCGGTCTCCTGGAACTCTGTTTTTATTCTCATGATTCTAGCTATTCTCTCAATTCTGCCAGCTCTTTTCCAGAAGAAACTCAAACAAAAGTTTGAATAACAGTCATCCTAGATCTTCATTCCCATATTTCATCTCAGGATCAGCACTATTTCTATGATCACTTTTCTATTGGATCTTTTAATCATTTGAAAGGAGAAACTTGCAAAGGATAACATTGTTTCAAGACTTATTTACTTATGCATCACAAAGGCAAAATTAGTACAACTGGAAGATGAACCATGTTTTTTTTAAATAGAAGCATTATCATTTTTAAATAACGTGTAATATTTAATTTGCACCATATTTGTTTGCAGTTGCTTACATGAACAGTTCATTCCTGTTTGCTGCTTTTTTTTAACTGTCATTCATAATTCCTAAAGAATAATGGACTGTGTAACAGATTCTATAGCCCAGTGAAGTAGTGGACTGCTTGGTTTCTTTATTGATGCACTCCTTGTTGGAAAGCAGGAACAAATGCTTTTACTACTGCTTAATAATCTCTGGGTTTCCTTTTGCTTTGTGTCAGCTGTGGAACAGCTGAAAAGACATTGAGTGACTTTCCAGATTTCCAGTGTCATGTTATTTGTGCTGAAGGTGGGAGTTAATGCCATTTTATTATATCTCATGAGGTGTTCCAGTTTCAGATTTGATTATTTTGCCACTATTTGAGGTTTATGGCAGCTATTTTCAAATTTTCTAATATATTTAAATAAACAGTAAAAGTTTCGCTGTCAAATGGCATGTGTCATCAAACTATCAATCAACCAATCTTTATTTTGCGATCTCCAACCCATTAAGTGTCATCAAACTATATCCTTAAGGTCATACTGAAATGTGGAAGGATGGGAATCATGAAAAAAACAAAACCTTGACAACCACAGCTGGCTATTCCTTTGAGGGGCGGGAGAGGAAGAAAAGGTTAACGAATATACAGTATTTGTTAGGTTTTTATTTATACGGTACTTAAATGAACTGCTTCTGATCCAAAGATCCATGAATGCACCAAGGGCCCACATAAGATCATTTATTTTTATGCTCTGATAACTGAATGAGAAGTGCCTAAGCTCTTTCTTAAGCAGCAAGGGAAACATACCTGCAGCCATTCATGGAGTTAGGATTATAGTGTATAAATTGTGCATCCTGTAAATAGTCTTTAATACTAGGAAGATGCACCCCTGTTGTGTGGAAGGGTAGCTAATGATTGACTAACAAGCTAAAATGTATTTCCCAAATATAAGTACTCTATTAGGATTTTTAATGTTTCTTTTCCTATAGTTATTTTTGGCCAGAAATAGTCCGTCCCCCCGTTTTATGTGCTTCAGTACATTATTAAAAATGCTCTCCAAGCATGTGCCTGTCCCTAGGCCTGATTGTGCTGATATTTTCTCTTTATGTATATCTATGCAGTAAAATGAGCAGTCAAGCAATTATACAGCTTTTATTATCAAAGATATGTGCCAACTTTCTACATCCCTCTTTAAATCAAATTGGCATGAAAGCCTTGTGTGCAAATAGTTGTGCAACCTATTAGTTGGTCTGAAGAGCTATTGTAGATATTTTCCATCTCAATACTTACATGGGTACTCCTTTTCTCTGAACTTCTCAGTTTCCAACTTTAATGTTTTATTTTAAAATTTTTCCATTTTTTGGTGCACTGTTTCCTATTTGGACTCAAAAGCATTCTGCTAGAATATTACAGGTTTTTGTCCTGACTTGAGCAATGGAATTGGATATTGAGTTCAGCGGTAAAAGATGCTGAGGGCTATCCTGTCTATAGAATGGTTAACAAGCAGTTGGATACCTAGGAAAGGAAATTGGCATATTTGGAATACAGAAATAGTTGTTGATTTAAAAAAAAAGTCAAACACAATAGAGAAAAGATACTGTACTTGTAACTGAAATCTTTAAAAAGCAATGCAATGGCAGTTTACTCTTTCCTAATCTGGACTGTGCCTGTTGTTTAAGTATAGTTGGTGAAAGAAGAGAAATGGAGAGGGGTTTATAGAATCAAAGCTGCAGATGATTCCCTGCTTGGTATTGCAGGATATTTACTACAACAACGCTAGACTGTATTGAGAAAATACCATTTTTACTGTGTTTCTATAGCCTTACAAATAATTCATTTCCTCTTGAAAAATAACATTTTTTTCAATGGAGCCTTTAACACATTAAATAAGCAATATTCAAGGGAATTGTTACTTTTGCAGCTTTGGTGTTCGTTTGATTCTGTTTTTGTTTCACAAAATGTGGATTGAGTCACTTTATTGCAGTATTATGTATAATATGCAGCAAATACATTAATATTTGTCATAGATGCCTCACATACCGTTTTCATTGCCTCTTGACTGTTGTTTACTTGTGTTGAGTTGCTCATAATAAAACAGTATCGTGGCATAAACAAATGCAGGCTAACTAGGTAAGAGTTTTATACCATTGAGAACCTTATGTGGAGGCTAGATCAATGAGTGCCACTTAAATAATAAAAAACCCACTTCGTCCTGAATATTAAAAATGACATACTATTTTTGTGGTTCATAATATAGCTGTGCTTTTCTCAAATGTTGAAGTATTCTTATGTTAACCCAAGATAACATAATATTCTTATTCACTAATATGGTTTATGTATTTAAACATCACTGCCCACAATATAACATTCATAGATTTTTACAGATCACATTGTGATCAAGACAGCTGATGTTACTAATGGCTTTAATCCCAAGCAAACAAATTATATTTACTATTACTTTGTGGCGGCTCCTTCATTGTTGCTTATCATTAAAAACACCTAACATTTCAGGTTCAATTATACTTGCAGTATTAATTCTTGATTAGGGTTGTTGCTGATGTTTTTTTAATGGGCCAAGATAAGAAAATGGAAGAAACTGACAGAGGCAACATACCACAAGGAGATTTTAAACCTGTTCAGGTGTTTTAACTGATGTGAGGCCTACAAATGTGTATAGTAGGGCTAGACAACGTGTGGTCCCCAAATGTTGTTGGACTTCAGGACCCAAAATCTCTCATCATAGTCTCATGTGAGGTTGCAGTCTAATGTATCCACCTGTGATATAAAAGGTTGCTGATTCTGTCCTTATTCTCTGTATGCTGGGCCCCAGTTCCTCAGTCTCTGATGTGGCATGGCTGGTGACTGAAGAGATGGTGCCCAGTGCACAGTGAGGCATAGGAGCTAGATTATTTATTTATTTATTTATTTATTTATTCTATTTCTATCCCGCTTATCTGGTCATACTAGACCACTCTAGGTGGCTTACAACAAGAAACAACAACATAATTTTAAAAACGTTACAGTTTAACAGAGATAGATTGCATGCAGGGACATGGTGTCATTAGATGATGTGTGAACTAAGCCCTCATAGCACTATATAATTTATAACACTCCTTGACCATTCAGCCTGTGAGGTTCATCACAGCTAACAATCTCTTGGTAGGGTTTTATATGCAGTATAGTAAGATGTTTTATTAAGAACAAATAACTTTTTTCCTCTAAATATCCTTCAGATATTTTGCCCAAGTAGCACGTAGTCGTTTAGTTGTGTCCGACTCTTTGTGACCCCATGGACCAGAGCACGCCAGGCCCTCCTATCTTCCACTGCTTCCCGTACTTGTGTCAAATTCATCTTGGTTGCTTCGATGACACTGTCCAGCCATCTCATCCTCTGTCGTCCCCTTCTCCTCTTGCCATCACACTTTCCTAACATCAAGGTCTTTTCCAAGAAGTCTTCTCTTCTCATGAGATGGCTAAAGTACTGGAGCCTCAGCTTCAGGATCTGTCCTTCCAGTGAGCACTCAGGGTTGATTTCCTTTAGAATTGATAGGTTTGTTCTCCTTGCAGTCCAGGGGACTCTCAAGAGCCTCCTCCAGCAACACAATTCAAAGGCATCAATTCTTCGGCGGTCTGCTTTCTTTATGGTCCAGCTCTCACTTCCATACATCATGACAGGAAGCACACAAAGTATCAAAAAGATCCATTCTTTCTCTTCCTTTATTGAATATGCAAGCAAGATTATATGTAATTTTTCTCTTAAAATACATATGTAGTAAGCATTGAAATCTTAATAATGAAATAGAAAGGTTTCAATAAATGAACTCTTAAGGACCTAATACATCTGTGGAATATAGCTTTAAAAATATAACTATCTTAAAATCTGCAACCGTTGGCTGGATGGTTTATGTATCAGGCTATAGAGTCAGATGTTGGGAGTTTAATTCCTCTCTGTGGCTCCTGTGGGTAGAGCCAGTTTGTGTGGACTTGGGCAAGCTGCACAGGCCTAGGAAAGACAATATTTAGATCTAGACAACATTAGTTACAAAATATGTTGGGTCATACCATACATGTAACTGGGATCTTAATATTCATGCAGAATGCAGCTTTTTCAAATATCTGCTTAGTACATTTATGTGACCTAATTCTTTAGATGCAGACTACTGCAGTCGCTCGAAGTGTGGGAAATGGTTTGTGTTCATAATGAGAAGTACAGTAAATCATTTAAATTTTATAAAACCAAAGAGTGTAACAGAGAGGTTTTTATTTTATATCAGCTTTTTTCCAAATGGCTTACAAGTATTATCTATAATGAAACACTGCCCCAAAATCAAAGCTTTAAAAATATAAATACCATAAAATCCAACATAAAAATTAATGTAGAACAATAAAACTAGCAAAAAGAAGTACAGCAAAACACCAATACAATGGATATAAAAAGTACTAGGAAATATGTAAGACTGAAAAACCTGGCAAAATAAAGATTAAAATATGGTACTAAAGAGATCACAGTATAGGTGCCAAGTGACCTACCCTGTTCCGTAGCTTATTGCCAAAACTGAATTGCTCTAATAATATTGGGTTGTCTTGTGGCACAGTGGTTAAACCGCTGTACTGCAGCCAAAATTGTGCTCACGACCTAGGGTTCAATCCCAGGTAGCCGGCTCAAGGTTGACTCAGCCTTCTATCCTTCCGAGGTCGGTAAAATGAGTACCCAGCTCGTGGGGGGGGGGCAACGTGTAGCCTGCATAATTAACTTGTAAACTGCCTAGAGAGTGCTTGAAGCGCTGTGGGGCGGTATATAAGCAGCACACTTTGCTTTTTTGCTTTTGCTTAGTAGGGCAGAGGTAGCTGGAAAAAGCCACAGAAGGATCCAGTTAGGAATATGTGAGAGACAGTGACCCTGTAGGTGACCTTTTACCCTCTTAAAGAATTTGCTGCTGAGGAAAGAAAATTGTAAGCTGCTGCTTCATCACTTAAGGCAGCCCTTGGCAACCCTTAAGCAGCTTTTGAAGTTTAGTACCAGCACTTTGGATGCAGAAACAGAATGAACGTCAATTCAGATGGTAAACCAATGTTGTAGTGTTGAAAATGCCTTTAGGTGAAAACGAAGTAAAATTAAAAATGAAAAATGTGGTGGCACCTGAAACACAAACTTTTATATTTTTTAATGTGAACTTTTATGGGCAAATCCCTTTAATCAAGGTCTTTAAAAAAATAAAATTTAGTCTTTAAGGTGCCACCATGTTTTTGTTTTTATTTGTACTTTGTTTTTCCCTGCAGGGCTTGCACAGACTAACACGGTTACCCCTTCTACAATTACTGACAAGTCCTTATTTATTTTATTATATATTTGCCAGGTATATATTATTTGATTATATTTTTATCCCAGCTGTCCACTAAAACATTGTGATCAAGACAGCTGAAGTTACTGAAAGCAAGATGAAAAATAAAACCATGAAATAATAATAATGACATGCTGTCAAATCAATTATGACTTATGGCAGCTATTCCAGGTTATTTAGAACAAGAACTAGTTTACAGCCCCTCCTTCAATGGTGCTCTAGGACCATAGTTTGCCTATGGC